CGGGGCGGGGCGCCGGCCTGCGCGCCGGAAAGGGAGGAGCCGGGAGCGTTTCGGCCCCGCCCCCTCGCCCCAAGGGCATCCAGGGCGCAGGCGCAAGGTGGCTCTGGCAGCTGCGACGCTGCCTGGTTGCCTTGGTTTCCAAGCGCCTCCTATGCCCGAGGACGAGGCGCTCGCCCCCCTGGAGACCGGGAAAGGTCACCGGGACCGAAATGCACACCTGAAATGGCAAAGCAGAGGCGGGCTCTTTGGGGAGGTGGCACCACTCGGATGTGGCTGGATGGATATATTTGGACAAAAACTGCCATGTCTAGGTACTATGCGACAGTTTGATGACATTCCATTGCCTTGTTTGCCGATGAAGAAACTATGGGAAGTGACTGAGGCTCTCGGATGGGCCCGGTGGCCCCGTGATCCTGGGGCTGGCCCAGCCTGTACCCAGCTGGCATCTCTCCGCAGCTGCCATGGGTTCAAGACACTTGTTAACGCCATATGTTCCTCTAAGACTGGGAGAGATCGGACGTTAAGTCAGCAGGATTCCAGGCCCCCAGGCACCAGGACAGGAGCCCTGGATGTAAGGTGAGGGTCCAAAGCCTGGGTCCCTCCCTGGAGGCCAGCCCTGGGGATGGGAGAGGCCCCCAGGCATCCTGCATGCTCATGTGGCAAACAGTAGTTTCCACAATACTGAACCCGAGTCCTTTGTCAATAACCCAGTGTTCAGTGTTAGCTTCTCTTGTGGTTGCTGGTTAGTTAAAACAGATGAGAACATACTGTTACTAGAAAATAAGATGTTCTGCTGTATTCTAAAGAGCTTGCAGACTTTTATTTAAAACCTATATTTTGAAAATCACAAAACTTAGCAATAACACTTCATAATCCTCATTTCCCGATATTTCCCTTTTTTTCAATGAATAACATTTTCCCATATAAGTCTCTCAAGACTTTTGGGAAATTAAAAACTTCCCCAAGCTTGTTTTCAGACACATTAGTGAATTAAACTTCATACATATCGGCTACTCATTCATTGCCTCCTCTTCCACTGTCCCCGGCAGAGGAACCGTCAGTGGGCCCAAAGTTCTCAGAGGTACTAACTTTAATTAAGAAAAATGCATTTTTTTGGGTGGGGGTGTCAAAACAAGGTTTCACAGAAGGGAGAGCAAGGAAGGACTTCAGAATTCTTCCTCAGCACTTAGTGTCCGCGATTTCTTGAGATTCTTCAATTTATCGATGGCAGAAGCGAGTGATATCTCTCCATGAATTCTGTTGTCCCTTGTTCGAACGTTGACAGCACTGTTTGCTTTTTCCTTTTCTCCAACCACTGTAGAAAAGAAATGGAAATAACACTGTAAATCAACAATTTACAGAAGACTGAGCGAGCAGTCACATGACTGGTGTCTTGAGTTTTTCTTCAGTATGGAATTAAAGTGCAAAAAAACAAGCATTTAGGAGAACAGATGCAACTTTAAATTACCCAAAATAAAATTATACTGAGCCAGCTGTGCGTTTCGGATTTTCTTATTGAGTGTACAGCTATGATCTAAATCGATGTCGGCCATGAATCCTTCTTCAAAAAATGTGCTGGACACCTACGAGAATAGAAAACGCTCTATTATTGCATTGGCCTGTGGACTGAAGCTTCCCAGGTTTGATGCCGGTCAAGGGCACATGCTCAGGTTGTGGGCTAGACCCCCAGTAGCAGGTGTGCAGGAGGCAGCCTATCAGTGATTCTCCCTCATCACTGATGTTACTATCTCTCTCTCCCTTCCCCTTCCTCTCTGAAATCAATAAAAATATATTAAACAACGACAAAAAAGAAGTGTTTGTTGTTTTAAGCTGCTAAATTTTGGGGTAATTTGTTACACAGCAATAGATAATGTAAGTATTCTGTGCTCATAGAGCCACATGGAAAAGAATAACAAATATGAGATGTTTTAAAACAGCAATTTCTCAAAAATATCCAGAAATAAAATGGTGCTGATACAGCACATAGGCATTACTCCCAATGGCTGAAAACATGGGATGGCGGTGAATGCATTAGTTACACAGCATTTTCAGGCATGAACACGTTCCAGGTAAAAAACCTTCACACACTAGAGCAGGGGTGGGCAAACTTTTTGACTCGAGGGCCACAATGGGTTCTTAAACTGGACCGGAGGGCCGGAACACAAGCATGGATGGAGTGTTTGTGTGAACTAATATAAATTCAAGGTAAACATCATTACATAAAAGGGTACGGTCTTTTTTTTCAATAGTTTTATTCATTTCAAACGGGCTGGATCCGGCCCGCGGGCCGTAGTTGGCCCACGGCTGCACTAGATGCCAAGATTGTTCTGCGCTTTGCTGTGCACTTCGATGGGACAGTAGGTGACAAGCAGGTTTGTCATTAAATGCGTCTGATTTTACCTGAAGTGCATACTTGTCACAAGTCGGACCCACAGGGATGACCATCACCTGACGCGGAGACAGCCAGAAAGGCCTGAGAAATAGAAAAAATAGGTATTTTCAGAATGACCATTTGTTACATGATTAAAAATTACCAAAGATTTTTTTGTGAGCTTTCTCATTCAATAGTTTTTAAAAAATATTTGATTTCAGAGAGAAAGGGAGAGGGAACGAGAGAGAGAAACATCAATGATGAGAGAGAATCATGGATCTGCTGCCTCCTGCACGCCCCCTACTGGGGATCGAGCCCACAACCCGAGCATGTGCCTGTGACTGGAATGGAAACTGGGACCCTTCAGTTGCAAGCCAATGCTGTACCCACTGAGCCACACCGGCGAGGGCTCATCACTGATGTTTCTCTCTCTCTCTCCCTCCCCGTCCTCTCTGAAATCAATTTAAAATATCTATATGTTACACCCCACATTTGAGGGCATTTCCCTTCCCCACTTCGCCCCTAAGTGGGCTGGGCCTGGGGAGCAGTTCTCTGGTTTGTGCCAACGTGTTGTTCAGGGCCATTTGTGCTGCAGGGTTTCCTCCCAAGTTAGTGGTCACAGGGCGCCCCACGAGGCAAACACCAGGTTGAAGGAGGGATGGCGGTGTGGCAGGAGGGGATACCCCCCTGGGAGTGTGGGCCTTGTGATTTCCAGATTCCAACTTTCAAAGGCCTGGAATGGTGAGGACATGGCTGTGTAAGTCCACTGAGTTCCCCAGAAGGCAATGAGACAGTTTCACGTCGCTTGGCCTTCACTTTCTGAGTCGGCAGCGGGACGGGAATCTTTCGCTTGCCGTGTGCATGCGGGCTGAGGACAAGGCAGGAGCCACCAGTTTGTTTTCACGTTAGTTTTCTCTCTCAGACGTGACTTCTAGGGAATAATAGACACGTTTCCTGTCCCACGTCACTTACCACTTCCCCCCGTAGTTTTCCGACAGGATGGCTATCATTCTCTCCACCGAGCCCAGAACGGCTCGGTGAATGATCACAGGGCTCTTCTTGTCATCCCCGTCCTTACTAAAGAAGGAAATGACACATTTCAGGCTGTTTTTTAAAATATACTTTTTATTGATTTCAGAGAAGTAAGAGAGAGAGAGAAACATCAATAATGAGAATCATTGATCAGCTGCCTCCTGCACGCTCCCTAGTGGGGATCAAGCCCGCAACCCAGGCATGTGCCCTGACTGAGAATCTAACCATGACCTCCTGGTTCATAGGTCAATGTCCAATCACTGAACCACCCCAGCCAGGCCTGCTGACTGATTTTTGATAAAAGTACAACAGCAAGTCAATGGAGAAAGGATGCTCTCTACGCCAATGATGCTGGAATAATTAGACAGCTAGATGTAACCAATGACCTCTGACCTAAACTTTCACATCTCAGACAAAAATTGGACTCCAAATGGATCTCAGACCTATGTGTAAAACTCAATGCTAGACTCTATCCACTGAGCCAAACCAGTTTTGGCTGCTAGAAAACTTTTAAGATAAAACATAGGGGAAATCTTCACTGCCTGTGCTTAGGCAAAGAGTGTGCAGACATGACGCCAAAAACATGACCCGTAAGAGAAAAACTCTATGACTTAGACATCAGTGAAATACAAAACTTAAAATGAAAGGGAAAGTGAAGACACTATTAAAAGAAAAAGAAGAAGCTACAGCTTGGGCAGGGTGGCTCAGTGGTTGAGTATCCATCTTTGAACCAGGAGCTCACGGTTCAAGTCCCAATCAGGGCACATGCCCAGGTTGCGGGCTTGATCCCCAGTC